TTTTGTATTACTAGTGTGTAGGGGGGAAAGAGAGGGGTTAACGGATTATTTGCTTGACATTTGTAGATTTTTTTTTTATTTTTTTTATTTTTTGCTGAAAGACATTTGTAGTTGTTTGGTAAAAGAGAAAAGGATACAGAATGAATCAGGTGAGAGGTTTCAAGAGCTGCTCGTTTTGTGGGTCTATAACAGGTTTAGAACCCACGCAATGGCTCGTATAGTTCGCTAATTTGAGTTTTTAATTCGAGTTAAAATGTGACTTTATGTGAGAGTTTTTTACTGTAGTAAAAAAGTTAGATGTGACTATTTCTGAGAGTTTTTTACTGTAACAAAACTTAAATTTTAAACTCGAATCGTTGAAATAAACGAGGCCGAGAAGTTGTGGTTTGAACCAACCCTCTATAGTACAAACCCATTCCCCTACATTATTATTGCTTTGTTAACAAATTAAATATAAATAAACTATTAATTATAGTTAATAATTAATTTAGTACTACTTATTAATTTGTCATCAATCCTTATTTTACAAATAATTTAATTATTTTGTTTATTAATAATCTCTAATTATCGTATAAACTTGAATTCTTATCCATATGTTATTTACTAATTACCATTTGAATATTTTGATTTATTAGTACATATTAGTATTAATGTTTTATAAGATAACTACTCCACATCAGAATCTATTATTACCTATCCAAATGCCAACTCCTCTTAAATCACAATTCAAATTGGTGTATCTAAAATGATCCGACTTGAACCTGTGAATCGAATGGGACCAAAGTCTTTTAAAGAATCGCAATTTCAACAAAAATAAGAAAAAATCGTATTTTTGTTAAAAGAATGAAGCAAATGCCAGTGGGAAAAGAAAAATAAATGAAAGAAGGAGTTGTCTACAGTTTCTTAATTTGAAAATGGGAGACAAGTCCCACATGTGCCATCGTAATCAGCTCATGTACCATCGTAACTGGCTGAAGGGTTAGAATAATTCTCTTGTATTGAGTCATAAAAATTATTATTTTAAAAATTAATAGTCATTTTTAAGCATATAACAATAGGTGAATGTCATGCACACCTATCATACATAATTATATGAATAACATTAAAAGGTACATTAATAAACGACTGTCGTTTCAAATATGAATAATAATAATATGCATGTATGTCTTTTTACTGTTAATATTGGTCATTCTATCATAAATGATTCTCTTTTTTGAATCTGAATAATATTGTCATGAAAGATTACATTTGTTATGTTCTTTTCTTGATTGAGACATTAGTAGCTTGTTTAGTTCGCTGATTCGAATTGAGATGTGACTCTATATGAGAGTTTTTTACTGTAACAAAAAAGTTAGATGTGACTATTTATGAGAGTTTTTTTACTGTAACAAAACTCGAATCGGTGAAATGAATAGGGCCGGTCATGCACGAATATTTGTTTGAAGCAGTTCATGACAGTCGTTTATTGTCATATGTTTAAAAACGACTTCTAACTCATAAAATAGCAAATGTTACGACTCAATATAAGAAAATTACGCCAATCATTTAACCGATTATGCTAACCTTTAATGGGGAAAATTTTTCCCGTAAAAGTGGGGGACCACAAAAGAGGCCATTAAAGATATATCAATGTTTTGAAAATCTGGAAATGTCCTGCTTCATTTGTGATTAGAAACCTCCATTATTGGTGGTAGTCGTCATTCTGTGGGGGAGATCTCTCCGGCGAAAGAGCAAGCGACAGTGAGGGAGAGAAGTGGGAGATATTTCAAATTTTGGGTATTTTTAGAGGTATTTTCAATAATATGTTAAAATATCTGATTTAAATTTTTTTGCTATTTACTAAAATATTTTCTTTATATCTGCTATTAATTTTACTTATCCCTTCTAAATTTGCTATTTCTTTCATTCTCTACAAATTTTAATCTATGCCAATAAGTAAAATCCATAAAAGATACAATAAAAGAAAGGTTATTTTTATTATTTTTCAAAATAAAAGTTGAAATTTTGTTTGTAATAATTTACGTTTACCAACAAAATGAACGTCGTTAGGAAAAGTTTTGTCATCGGACTGATTATTAATTGACTTGTACAAATAACTACTTTTCCATATTTCCTCAAAAAATAAGCACTTTTCCCTACGAAAACATATTTCATCATGAAACTTCAATTACCAGATTTTTTTTTTCATAGGAAATTGAGAAGCTTTTATTAATCACGGACAATATCATTATGTACAAGGCGATTAATAAAAACCGATACTGAATCCAGTCAAAACTGATTAATAAAAGTAATAAAAGTATGAGTAGTCAGCGTGTGGATTGCATAATTCTTTTTACGAGAAGTGTAGCAAACAGAACCACAACGAGTTTGTAAAAAGATGTCTCTAATGTCTCTAATTCCTTAACTACCAGTTTTTTTTTTTTGTGTTTGTTGTGACTCAAAAGTTATCACTAAATATGTTCTATTTTTTTGTCATTATATGCTTGAAAGATTAATCATAAGACATATTTTCACTATAAATTTAATCCATTTTTTAATTATATATATTTTAATTTAGATAGTAAACTAATTTTCTTTATCAAAAAGTTGTACCTACCTACTCTTATTTACGAGTATAAATAAATAATATTATGCTTAACTAAGACTTAAATAATAACCATAATTAAAGGTGGAAAAACTGAGTATTTTAACTTATTTTCTCGCTTCACTCGTATGTTTGACACAGGATCTTTCAACTGCAAACACCTTTTCTTTTTCTCGATTCACCTTGTATGTTTGAGGTATTGCTTTGTTTTCTTTTTAAGTTTTTAGCTAAACAAAGGCTCCGTTCGTTTCGTAGATTCGACTTTTCAATTCGAGCTGAGTTGTGATATTTTTTAGAGCTTTTAACTATAGCAGAAAAAGTTAGATGTGATATTTTTTGAGAGCTTTTAACTGTAAAAATTTAAAATTAAAAATTCAAATCTACGAAATAAACGAGGCCTTAATAACATGATAATGTGTGTCTTGCGTTTCTTTACAAGAAATCGTTGGGTTCCTTCTGTCCTCCTCTTTACCTTTATTTAGTGGCCAAAAAAGTAGAAGGCATAATTAACTAACTTTTACAAGAAAAAAGTTTTAAATGTCCCATTAAAATTATATTTTCTCAAATGTGTCCTTAATTTAGGGTATTTTTTTAAATAACCATCTTAATTACTATTTACTCATGGACATGTTTTCTCTAATTTGACCTGGTTGAAGTTATATATTTTTTTTAAAAAATATGTTCCTACATATTTAAACATCTTTTTATTTTCTTGTGGCACTCTCAACTACTATTTTTTCATACGTAATATGTACCCTTTAAATAAATTTTCATCTAATTTACTTGCTAAAATCTTTATTGCTTAAATATATTCTACTTGTCTGTGCATATATACTATTCATCCAAACACATATTTTGTTTGCAACATGCATTTTAGTCTATTTTACTCAAATAAATGTTTTTGCTAAACTAAACACTTAAGAGAGCAATAAATTCAAATTAAAAAAAAATTAAACTCTTCAAAATTTAGATTCACGTATCCAAGAAGTTTAATAAACTGATAAAATGCACACGTATATTATGTTTCCAATTAATTAATAGTATGTCAAAACAAAAGAAAGAATAGACTAATTATTAGTATTAGGAGCTGAATTTATTATGCTTTTAACATTTTCAACATTTTTAATTTATGCCCCTAAAACAAGATCCTGAGTTCCTGACATCGCCACTAATAGCATCAACGGAAAAAAAAAAAAAAAAAAAAACCTAGTACGACTGCTATATTTTTTTATGTGTCATGTGCTATTAGGCCCCAGCCACAATATTTCCCAAGAATTAATCACATAGAAAGATATTATATATATATATATATATAGGAAAATATACATGTCTAACCTTATATGTTCCCCACAGAAGGATGAATCCGGACGTTTCCTCTTTTCCACTCAATAATGAAGACCAGACTTCATCCGCAAGCAAAATCTCGTGTATTATATAAATTATAGACTAACTTGAGGCTCCGTTTGGGATTTATTTTAGAGAGATACTTTTTGATTTTTTACAAATTTGTATAGTTGTAGTTACATCCGTCAAAGTAAATTAAAATTGATTGGCGCAGACTAATATATTTTATTAATACACTCTCAAAGCAGTGTTAAGAAGTTAATAAGAGAGAATTTTTGAATATATGTCGACACAAAAACTAAAACTAAAATATTTTTAGAGGGTATTGTACTTATTCGCATTTGTAATTTTGATCCTAAAGTTTTCATTTTGACAAACGGCATTCAAAATTTGAAAATCTATTGCAATTGTGGTCATAGCCAACTACGTCAATTAACAAGCAAAAAGGTCCAGAAATTTTTATAGAAATGCACCACAAACTTTTCATTGGTTGACAAGTTAGACCATTAATTTTTTAAAAATTTTTTTGCATGATATAAACGAAAAAAATTATTCCAAAAGAAAAAGTGCATGTAGACTCAGAGTAAATAAACAAAAGTCTAAATGCCATCCGCTCTTTTTATATTGAAGATAATCATCAAGTGACCGATCACACTATGAACCCGTTTAGTTCGTTGATTTCAGTTTTTAATTCGAGTTGAGATGTGACCTTATATGAGAGTTTTTTACTGTAGTAAAAAAGTTAGACGTGTCTGTTTTTGAAAGTTTTTAACTGTAGCAAAACTCAAATTTTAAACTCGAGATGTGACCTTATATGAGAGCTTTTTACTGTAGTAAAAAAGTTAGAAGTGACTGTTTCTAAGAGCTTTTTACTGTAACAAAACTCAAATTTTAAACTCGAATCGGTTAAATGAATGGGGCCTATAATCATAGAAAATTTTAACAACTCAAACGATGAACAAGGATTATTAACACGGTTGATCCGTGAACTTTGAGCATAATAATACTTTAATCCCTGATTTTTAATTTTGATAGAAGTAGTCCTTAAACTTTTAATTATTAACAGTTTTGGTCTCTAAAACTAAAATCAACAAAAGAATTCTCTGAAATTTGACATAGATAATATTATCTAGATTGCATAATAACTAAAAATTTTACACAAATAACTACATTAAATTTGAAGTCTTCTAATTCTCAATGGATTTTAACAGTGATGAAAAGAACATTCTGAACATAGTATAACAATTATTTGTGAAATTTCAAGTGCTTACGCAGATAGAAACATGATCTTAGCGCCGCTAAATTTAAGAAATTGTTTGTTAATTTAAATCTTTAGGATCAAAAGTGTTAAAATTAAAACTTTGATCAGGGATTAAACTAATGATGCAATGGCCAAAGTTCAGGAACTAATACCACAAATATCCTGAAGAAAAATTTAAATTCAGTACTGTAAATCTATCTCTGAAAATAAAAAAGTGTACCCTCGCATAAAGAAAAAGTGTGCCCTATTAGGCGAACCTTCTTTTCTTTCTTTCTTTCCTTTATTATTATTATTTTTTCATCTTTTTAAACACTATCACGTATAAATAAATTGATCCCAACAAAATAAACCGAGAAAACCACTATAATCCAACGGAACCAAAAAGCTTAGTCAAGCCAAAAGTGATTCCCATGGCCAGCCACCCACCAAGCAAAACCCTAACCGATGACTTCACCGGAGGAGCCTTACCCAAGAGTGCACCCAAAGCACCAAACCCTAACAAGGCAAGAGTCACCACCATCACCACCACTCCCAACCTCACCTTGTAATCCCTCACAAACGACGCCCCCAGAAGCGGCACCGCCGCTCCCGCCGCAAACGCCACCGCGGAAGCAGCCGCCGCCCTCAACGGGCTCGGAAGCTTCTCCTTCTTCACTCCCTCCTTGTTTCCCTTCCTCTGCATCTGAGCAACCTCCATGTCCCGTTGCGAGTAGACGGAGACAAACTCTCCGATGGCCATGCTGCAGGCCCCGGCGACCAGGCCGGCAATCCCGGTCAGGATCATTGTCTTCATGTCGGTCCTCACGGCGCCAACTCCCATCATCAAGGAGGCCGTTGAGAGCAGCCCGTCATTGGCGCCGAGCACCGCCGCTCGGAGCCACTGCGCCCGGACGGCATAGTCAACTACCTCCACTTCCACCTCCACCTCGAGCTGATCATTCTCTTGTTTTTCGACGTCGCTGAAGCTAATTGTGCTATGTCTCGGCTCCTCGTTGGCCATAAGCGAAGAAGAAGATGGAAGATTAATAGTGAGATATGGGAAATGGATGATGTGAAGTGTGGAGGACACACGCCAAATGTAAATGGTATTTATAATTCGAATCCTTAGTGGGGTACTAGGGTGCTGAGAACGTGGTGGTGGCTTCCACACACACACACACACATATATATATATAATATTTTGAACACAGGTGGAAAGTAGGGTTTTGTGCTTGTGCTTTGTGGGAATCTAATGCTTTCACACTTGAAAGTTGAAAGTTAAGGAATTAAAAAAGGTTTGGTTGGCCCTATATGAAAGTGGACCTTCCATTTACTTTCGACAGTCGATTCCGTTCCATTTGGAGAGACGTACAATTACAGAGCATGATTAAGGACTAATTTAATTCGTTAATTTGAGTTTTTAATTTAAATTGATATGTGACTTTATATAAGAGATTTTTACTGTAATAAAAAAATTAAATGTGATTATTTATGAGAGTTTTTTATTATAATAAAACTCGAATTTTAAACTTAAATTGGTAAAATAAACGAGGTTTAATATGATCAGTCGAATACTTATAAATACATAAATGAAAGTAAGGTTAGAATAAAGATATTCTTGATTATCATCTCGCGGTTGATATTATAGTTGGTAGCCTACAGTTGTTCATATTAATTTGGCGGAGCTTAGCATTAACGCTAGGCACGTAGCGTATATGGCATAGTTAGATACCGATTTGTACGAATAAGGTACATGACGTACAAAGGTATATTAAATATCATATGGAAACTAAAGATATCAGCTAAGTATCTAGACAGTAAGAAAAATAATTAAGAAAGTACTCACTTTCAATTACGTCAAAAAAAAAAAAAAAAAGTACCAATATAGTGAGAATTTCACAATAAAATTAAGGGAATTTCTCTCATAAGACCAGAAAAAAAAAACTACTTATAGTTTTATTTTTTTTAACTGTTTTTAGATATTAAATCTGTATCAGAAACTATCTGTTCTGCATGCTTTTATTAATCTCATTGGATTTTGATTAGATCTAACCGTCATAAAACTAGTTCCACTAGTTGGACGGCTTATCGTAAATAGTCCTATTAATACACTTAGTGCTTTTCGTAATTTTTCGCTATTATACGTTTTCTTTTGAGCTTACTAATATAATTATACTTCTAGTTACAACTATTTATGTCATTACAAGAATTTTTAACATTTTGCTAAAACAAATGGTCGCAGAATGCCTAATTATACTTCTAGTTACAACTATTTATGTCATTACGATTTGGTCTTAGGAAGTCAGTTGCATAAAGCTTTTGCAATCAAATAGCCCAACAACTGGGCGCGAGACTTGTGCTTCGTGTGAAGTTGTATATTTTAGGCGACCACACATGATACTTGCTACGATCAAAATTTGGTCACGGATTTTTCTCCCACTAAAAAATAAACAGCAACTGCCAAGATATTGATCACTAAAACTATATTTTAGTCATAAAATCGTTTCGCAACTGAATTTAATTTGATCACAAAAAATTTCCGCTACAAAAAGGTTATTTGATTGCAGAAGATATTAGCGACTAAAAATTTGATAGCGAAAACGTTCAGTTACTAATTATTTTTGGTTGTGAAACGTGTCATTGGACTATATTCTTTTTGGTCTAGAAAGATTTTATTGACCAAATTTTTATGATCACAAAATATTTGCAGAATTTTATCTCATCCATTTTTCAGTAATGTATATATGTAAGAAAAAATATTGAAAACGAGATATTTAATAAATAGAATATATGAGATTATTAAAATAGCTCCAAATCTGTCAATATGACTATAATCGTTACGAAACTTTCAATAGTCATACACGAGGAACTATATCCACTAGTAAGCATATTATAGTCCCACAGAAGTGGAATTATCTGTTAGGTTGTGTTTGGTTGGGGGAAAGGAGTGGAAATGAAAAGAATGGAGTTTCATTATGATGTTTGGTTGACTTTTAGAAAAGGAATAGTCGTTCAAAATGTAATAATTTTTCATAAAATGGGTGAATTATCGTTCATTTCTCTCATGAAAATAATAGACATTCTAAGTTATTTTATTCTTTTCTACCATAATTACCCTTAAATATTATAATATTAATATTATAATTACATTAATAATTATAATATAATTAATATAATATAATTGTATTGTAATAATTACCATATAATTAATATATTGTATTGTAATAAATATTATAATGTTACTATAAATAAAATAAAATATAGTTATATTATAATATAATATAGTTATATTATAATATGATGTAATATGATATAGTCGTAATATTACAATTAATAATATCATAATTATATTATTAATTTCTTATACAATATTATATATTATAATCATGTTATATTATATTATTAATGTAATTATGTTATATTATTATAATATTAGTATATTTATGTAATAATGTATTAATAATAATACAACTATTAATATAATTAAATATTAATATAATATTATTATATATTATATATTATTATACGGTATAATTACATGAGGTATTACATAATTATAATTATAACATATTTATTTTAATATAATATATTATTATATTATACTAAAAATGTAATTATATTATAATTATATTAATTAATCATTATTGTAATATTATTATTATTATATATTATATGTTTATAGTTTTATTATAATATGTTACATTTTATATATTATATTGATATATAAAATGTTAGTGTTGTATATATAACATAAGGTAATTTTATCAACATGAAATTTTTATATTCCATTCCATAGGGTTGATACTTGAATTTGTACTAATTATATTCCATTCCATAAGGTTGATACTTGAATTCGTACTTATATTCCATTCCATAAGGTTGATACTTGAATTCATACTTATATTCCATTCTATAAGGTTGATACTTGAATTCGTACTAGACTCATTAAGGGTTCAGATTCAATCTTTTGCGTCCCGTGACTGATCGAGTGCTACACTTCACCATCCGAATTTCATTGACTTTGATTAGTTAATTGTTTTTGTCTCTTTAATTATCACACGAACGGTTAATAATGGCCTTATATATTTACTAATTTATACGCTAGCTATTAGACTTATAAATTTTTGCTCTTAAAAAACAAATTAAAGTTTCATTTGTAGTTTAATCTTGGTTTTTTTATATACTTATTTTTAGAATTTTTCATCACAAAAAAGTCAACTGTCATTTCGATTTTCTCTCTAAATTTTTTAACAGTTTCTTTCCTTTTCCAACAATAATCGTTATTGAATATGGAGAGTGGGAGGAGGAAGGCTCGTATAAATGGGGCAAGTGCAATAATACTCCTATTTCCGTTGTTATTTAAATGAAGATTACGTTAGCCAACTTGTTCGATTTTGATATCTATTTTAGTACATGACGTTGTAATAGGTAGCGATTGTCTGTAGGAACAATCTGTCTATGACAAATTTGACCGAACAATCGATGCTCGATTATTGAATGTTTGATTATCAACTGCTCACAACTCAATTATCAGTAGTAGATTGCACCAAATTAACATTGCAACGGCCAAGATGCTGGTCCATCACGTGATGACATGTTGACTACTTAATCTTATTCCTGAGGTTATTAAGACGTAATCAATTCGGATAAACTAGAGCTACAAGTTTAGAATTGGCCAAATAGGCTGTTTTGAGGCCCGCCACTGTTGGTTCGAGCCCGGCCTGACTTTAACCTTCAGATCAGGCAGGTCGAGATTTTAAGACAGAAAATTGATTATCGACTACTCACAACTCAATTATCAGTCACCACCAATAGATTGCACCAAATTAACATTGCAACGGCCAAGATGCTGGCCCATCACGTGATGACATGTTGACTACTAAATCTTATTCCAGAGGGCTATTAAGACGTAATTAATTCGGATAAACTAGAGCTACAAATTTAGAATGGACCAAATAGGCCGTCTGGAAAACGAAAGAGAGATATAACTTTTTTTTTTGGCGCCAAAGATAAATTGAACTTGTTAAACCAGTGAAGGTTGCAAAACGCAATTATATAGTTTAAAGATTCGTCTACTGTTTCACGTCTTATAGTAAGTTTGTATGGCACTGTATCATGTTGATTTTTGCATATTAAATTCCATATAATACTAGACAATTGATTACGAGTTGTCAAACAAATCTTAAATTGAAAAAATAGTATGCAACGTTTGCTTGATTGATGCTAATGGGATAGCTTTCAAAAGAACTGGGAAAAATACATAAAATGGAAAAAAAAAAAAAAAAAAGGGGAACCCATCGGACAACCGTGTGATCATCAAGCCGTTAATCACGCTTTGATCGCATGGTCATGAGACATCCACCAGGTTGAGGTTCCCGTGTCCTTAGAACTCAAGGATACACAGGAACGAGCTTATGGAACAAATCATGTTTAAGTCAGGATCTCATTTGGCGTCTTTATTAGGAGACGTTTGGAAGGGGGATTCGGTCCCTGATTTGAATCATGATTTGTGGCTCACTACAGTATTTTTTCTCACAAAAAATATATGTAAATTGAAAATGATTTTAATCTTATGATTCTAATTCATGAACCAAACGTCCCCTAAATGTTTCACTAGAATGAATTTAAGTTACTTATGATTCTAATTCATGAACCAAACGTCCCCTAAATGTTTCACTAGAATGAATTTAAGTTACTTATGATTCTAATTCATGAACCAAACGTCCCCTAAATGTTTCACTAGAATGAATTTAAGTTACTTATGATTCTAATTCATGAACCAAACGTCCCCTAAATGTTTCACTAGAATGAATTTAAGTTACTTATGATTCTAATTCATGAACCAAACGTCCCTTAATATTTCACTAGAATGAATTTAGGTTGCTTTCTATTCAACTGATAGAGAATCGCTAAAACAAATTGCAATAGCTACCGATAGGAGAGACTTTTTAATGGGCATGAATGGTATTGAACATTAATAGTTAAAATTAAAAATTAGACACCACAGAAAACATTTGACCACCGAAAAGTTAAAAAACTTTGTTGATAAAATTTGGAAACAGTTGAACAAATTCAATGACTTTCATAATGCCCGAGAAAAAACAATCTCAAAAAACAAACTAAAACATAAAGATTCTAGTATCTAACGTTGCCTAAAATGGTGTTTCTTTTCTTCATCTCATGGGATAAGCTTTCAAAAGAACTGGGAAGAAAGTACAAAAAATGGAAACAGAGAGAAGGGAAAAAAAAAAAATGTTTCACTAGAATGAATTTAAGTTACTTATGATTCTAATTCATGAACCAAACGTCCCTTAATATTTCACTAGAATGAATTTAGGTTGCTTTCTATTCAACTGATAGAGAATCGCTAAAACAAATTGCAATAGCTACCGATAGGAGAGACTTTTTAATGGGCATGAATGGTATTGAACATTAATAGTTAAAATTAAAAATTAGACACCACAGAAAACATTTGACCACCGAAAAGTTAAAAAACTTTGTTGATAAAATTTGGAAACAGTTGAACAAATTCAATGACTTTCATAATGCCCGAGAAAAAACAATCTCAAAAAACAAACTAAAACATAAAGATTCTAGTATCTAACGTTGCCTAAAATGGTGTTTCTTTTCTTCATCTCATGGGATAAGCTTTCAAAAGAACTGGGAAGAAAGTACAAAAAATGGAAACAGAGAGAAGGGAAAAAAAAAAAAAAAAAACCGAACCTGTCAGACAACCGTGTGACCATCCCAGCCAGCGAAGCTATCTGAGAACGATCCTCTACAGCTGAGATGATCCGTGAATCATCACGCCGTTAATCACGCTCTGATCACACGGCCGTAGTTCATCCACCAGGTTGAGGTTCCTGTCTCCTTTAAACTCAAGGATTCAGAAGTACGAGCCTATAGAACAGATCCTGTTCAAGTAAGGTCGTGACATAAGAGCTTCACAAACGTTAATATAAATCGCTCGTCTCTTTAATAAACTTTAGATGTGGGACTTTTCTAAGATGCGTGTTCGTATTTCCTCGGACGTCAAAGGCAACGCTCTTGGTTTCCTTGGGCCTTTTTCACTATTGTCTATTCAATTGTGCTTGGCCCAAAATTTTGCACCTTGGACTGTACCAAACAACAATTATTCCATTGGATTTGGTAAACTTAGGACACAAAAATTCATTTCGTAAATGTGTTTGGGATGATGGTTATTCTTCAAGAATAATGTTAGGGGCACATACTTAAATTTTATTTTTTTTATTAATTGATGTAACGTATGAGTTATTATTTTTAGGAAAAAAGAGGAAAATATGCCAAAATTTGAGATGAATTAAAATTAATAGACCAATAGTTTACATAAGTTAATAAATAGGCCAAATTATTGTTTTCGTCAATAACTTGTCTGGTTATAAATCATAACTTGATAAGTTATTCCCAATTTTTGTCCATAACTTATTTGTCTATGAACTATAACTTGACAAGTTTGTCCATAACTTATCTGGTTATGAACCATAACCTGACAAGTTATGGCCTATTAATTTCTATAACTAAAAGTTGGCCTATATACTTTCTTAAACTTTTCATATTGGCTTATTTCCTACTATTTCCCTTATTTGTATATTAATAGGTGTTTAAAATATTGTTATGTCAATTAATAATGAGAGATTGCATCTACTAATAAAAAAATGACAACTCACATTCTACATAAGTTGGTATACAAGAATTAGAATTTTAATTGGTGTCCTTAACATTGCTCTATTCTTAAATAACTCTACGATGTTTTTTTTTTTTTTTTCCGCTGAAATTATTATCCTACAAGTTGAAGAAGTATTTATTCTACCCATATCAAGGTTAGCGATGGTAAACGGTAAACCCACTTGCTAATATTTTTACTATAAATTATGTACCAGTGAACTTCTACGAATTATTAGTTTTGTTATTACCTGCAAATTATGAACAATATGGACAAAAAAAAAAATATTTGAAAACCAGTTAGAATTCTCGACCAAATATGTACATAAGATAGTGGAATTTGATCGAACTAATAGGATAATTAGATGAGGAGAACACCAACCATGAAATAAAGCCAAAAATCAATGAGGACTTGAATCATTTACCAACTTTTTGCAATACATACCCCAGAGAAGAGAACGTTCGCACAGTACACAACTTTTTCACAACTTTTGCCAAATAGGTTCAAAAAGTTATGGATCCCCGTTTTCTTTTCTTTCTTTCTTTTTTTTTGTTTTGTTTTAGTTTACAACTAAGTGCTCATAGAATACAATCTTTCTTTTTTTTTTTGTTTTGTTTTAGTTTACAACTAAGTGCTCATAGAATACAATTTTTTGTTTGTTTATTTGTTTTTTTTTTTTAATGAGCTTACTTTATCAATAGATGATAACTTACTATGTGCTAAATGAATGATGCTAGAGACACAAATTCTAATTCTATATATTTTGTACCAATTCATGTAGTACAGAATTCTCATCTTTTTATTAATATAGTAACTTGCTATTAATTGACGTAATAATTTTTTAAATGACTGTCAATAAAAGAATAAAAACTCATGCCACGTAAGTTGGTAAAAAAAAATTGAGATTAGAGTTGGTTCCCCAGTATTATTCATGCTAAAATATTATCAAAACTTTGATTACTGTTTTTTCTTTTTGTGAAATGTAATCTGACTACCGCTTAATGTGGCAAATTACATTATTTTAAAATTAATTATGTACAATGTAAGTATAATAAATGAGATAAATATAAAAGTATACCCTGTAGTGTCACTTTAAAACGAAAAAAAAAAAAAAAAAACAAGACACGTTTACGACTAACTTAGGTTCCGTTTGAAAGATGAGTTCAAATGCACCTAGTTTTGCTTCACATCTCTACTCAACTATGTCTTCAACAAAAGAACTATTTACCTACAAGAGGTCAGCCATCACGACTCACTATCATCATTAGCTTCACTAATCTTTGGTCAATTAACCTTCTTCATCGTAATCTTCATCATCTTCGTCCAATCTCCTATTTAAGTTGGCCAGTTGTAAGGGATCAATGGCCATGTTATCCACATCGGCCAAAGACCAACCGGGGTATTCCTCGTGCTTCATTCTGTGCAGATGAACCAGTAGGGGCAGCGGCTGATAGGGATGTTGAGTCCCCATTGTCATCTAATCTCACATTCAAGTCGGCCCGTTTACTGATTTGAGTTTAGAATTCGAGTTTTGTCAGAAACAGTAACATCTAACTTTTTTATTCCAGTAAAAAACTCTCATATAAAATTACATCTCAACTCGAATCAACAAACTAAACGGGCTCAAATTTCGGATGGGAGCTTCGGTATTTCGCTGACCTGCAATATTCTCCTGATTTGAATTTAGAATTCGAGTTTTGTCAGAAACAGTAACATCTAACTTTTTTATTCCAGTAAAAAATTCTCACATAAAATTACTCTCAACTCGAATCAACAAACTAAACGGGCCCAAATTTCGGATGGGAGCTTCGGTATTTCGCTGACCTGCAATATTCTCCTTTGGCCCTTAAGGCTCTTCCCTATGATCCGGGGTTTCAGGGGTTTGATCATTAAACTCATTGTGCATGGAAATGTCTGCGTCATCTTCAAACTTGTCATTATGTGTAGCTGTCTCCCTCTCTACCATTCGACTACCTCATCCGCGACCTCTACCTCTGCCACTGCCACTACCACTAACATGGCCAGCCTCATGCTGCTCATTTTGATTTCTTTTTTTTTTCATTAAAACAAAGTCAGTTCTGTATGTAAAGGTAGAAGGATTAACAAGAAATAAAAACAATTGGATATCAGTCTGATCAAAACAAAAAGAAGAAACTTGGAATTTAGATAAATTTGAAAGCACTGGCGGTTTTGAGCGACCCCAAATGACGGGAAAAATTAGAAACTGATATGTTCAATGTATGGACACTTTTGTAATCCATTGATTCAAGTATTTTTGTCTCTCACCGTTTGATCCAGAAACTAGAAAACTGAGTTGGTTCATGTTTGCTTTTTGACTCAAAATTGAGACAAGTTCATGAGCCTTTGGAGTTTCAAAGTGTCAAAGAAAGTTATAGGAAGTGAACCAGTATAATTCTGTACACTGCAACACAGCAGAAAGATGAGCCCTATGCAAACCTGAGTACTATAGTCACAGTTTGGAACATTACCATTTTATTCCTCTTGGACTCCTCGTCGCTATCATTGTCCTCACCATCAACAAATTTCCTGAAAGATCATAAATTTTAATGCGTTTCAAGTTATGACAAATCTCAGATCTTTTTAGGCCACTAATAAGAAGATCAAAGTTCACATTTCACGGACCTTCTTTTGGCAACGGACCGATCCTCACCAGCAGCATCAGACCCACCTAAGTCGGGAACTTTACTAACAGTGTCCTTTAGAAAATCAAAAACATTGAACGTATGCACACACTGTTTTCTGCACATTCAACCAATTTAAAGTACCCGTGTCAAATATTCTCTCTTTGAGCAGGTTCTGAAATAAATGCTTAAACAAAATCTCTAGATAAAAACTTTCTTGCAAGAATCGCCACTATTAAGAATTCAAGTGAAGTTCCTCACATCACCGGATCAGGAATATGGAAGAAAGAAGTGAAATCCTCACCACCAGTAGATTGCACCAAATTAACATTGCAACAGCGCCCATCACGTGATGACACGTTGACTACTAAATTTTATTACTGAGGGTTATTAAGACGTAATCAATTCGGATAAACTAGAACTATAAGTTTAGAATGGGCCAAATAGGCCGTCCTGAGGCCCGCCACTGTTAGTTCGAGCCCGGCCTGACTTTAACCTTCAGATCAGGCATGTCGAGATTTTAAGACAGAAAATTGATTATCGACTGCTCACAACTCAATTATCAGTCACCACCAATAGATTGCACCAAATTAATATTGCAACGACCAAGATGCTGGCCCATCACGTGATGACACGTTGACTACTAAATTTTATTCCTAATGGTTATTAAGACGAAATCAATTCAGATAAACTAGAGCTATAAGTTTAGAATGAGCCAAATAGGCTGTCCTGAGGCCCGCCACTGTTGGTTTGAGCCCGGCCTGACTTTAACCTTCAGATCGGGCAAGTCGAGATTTTAAGACAGAAAATTGATTATCGACTGCTCACAACTCAATTATCAGTCACCACCAGTAGATTGCACTAAATTAACATTGCAACGGCCAAGATGCTGGCCCAACACGTGATGACACGTTGACTACTAAATCTTATTTTTAAGGGTTATTAAGACGTAATCAATTCGGATAAACTAGAGCTACAAGTTTAGAATGGGCCAAATAGGCTGTCCTGAGGCCCGCTACTATTGGTTCGAGCTCGGCTTGACTTTAACTTTCAGACCGGGCGAGTCGAGATTTGAAGACAGAAAATTGATTATCGATTGCTCACAACTCAATTATCAGTCACCACCAATAGATTGCACCAAATTAACATTGCAACTACCAAGATGTTGGCCCATCACGTGATGACACGCTGACTACTAAATCTTATTCCTGAGGGTTATTAAGACGTAATCAATTCGGATAAACTAGAACTACACATTTAGAATGGGCCAAATAGACTGTCCTGAGGCCCATGACTATTGGTTCGAGCCCGGCCTGACTTTAACCTTCAGACCGGGCGGGTCGAGATTTTAAGACAGAAAATTTATAAGGGATGGGCCGGTCTGACCCAAGTCATGTGCATCCACGAGGTTGATAGTCCCAATCATGTGCATCCACGTGGTTGATAGTCCATGTTTAAAGCATGGTGCTCTCTCTAGTCCACAGTCGATTACACACTGCTCGATTGCTGCTAAAACGACTCGTTAAGCTACTTGATTTGGTAATTCAAAACTGCACGTTCAGTTATTTTTTTTTTTTTTGCTGCTAAAACGACTCGTTAAGCTACTTGATTTGGTAATTCAAAACTGCACGTTCAGTATTTTTTTTTTTTTTTAACAGAACAGCGTGTTCAGAACTTGAGGGCCGAGCATTCACCACTCGCCACTAGGTTATTGAAGTATTCTGTTTGATCAACGCTCTCCGAAGACGACGACAATAATAATAATAATAATGACGAGGACAATAATAAGCAAAAACATATTCCCATGGTCGAGCTAATATCGAGGGTTTGCTTTTATTAATTTATCAACTTTAACTCTATTGTTGGAAAAAGGGCAAAAAAAAAACAATGCAGTCCTCTCTGGAAGAAAACCATACAAGCAAATCTAGGCGAGGGAACAAAGCATCGGTTCCGAAAACAGTTTCTTCAAACTGAAAAGAGAAAAGCAAATGTGACAAAAAGTTCAGCTCCTCATCACTTGACTTTTGCGAACAGTTTTGGTGCCACCTGCATCGCAATTCGCAAGGACATAGTGAATTAGGAAAGACAAGACCAGTGCAACGAAAAGCTCAGACTGCTGACACATAATACTTACACATTTGTCAACACAAGCCCAGTAATCAAAGTATTGTCCAGTACAGTGCTTGTGCCCAGTTTCATCGCCTTGGATTCTTTTAACACATGCCTATACAAAGGTGTAAATTAACAACATTTACGTATCTATTCGCAATCGAATTTCAAATTGCGTACAGAAGGAAAACGTGACCATTACAGGATCAACAAACTCAATAGCACAAGACAAATATTCGGAATAAATAAATAAATATAACTAAGAAGAAACGTGTATTTAAAGGAAATTTGGTTGTTACAATAATTGATACAATGGCAAACACCGGCAAACCCCCCTATGAAAACAGCCATTTGCAAAGACATGTAGAAAATCACTATTATTTACTTTGAAGTCCAAGATACCAAAGCATACCTGGTATTCAAGCAATGGTTTCACACACTTTGGCTTGCATGCCTCTTCAAGATACTTCTTCGGGTCAACAGGCTCGTCGTCCGCCCTAAATCCATGGAGGACAATTGAAGGATAAGAATATGAAGGAAAATAAGCATAACATCGAGAATAAGAGATAATAAAAGCAAGTACGAAATGAGAAATGATCACTAGACTATCCTTAAAGCTTGTAAACTACGAGACTTATTGTTATGAGGAGAGAGAGATACTATAAGAAGATTTGTTTAAAAAAGCAAAATTCTTTGGCTTCTCTTTGGGCATGAACGGATTCTTCATTCAAGGATTTTTCAGTCTCATTGATATTGTTAGTTGGGAAAATATTCTTGTCTAAGTATTTGGGTATTGGACTATTGGTAATTTTGTACATTCCAAGGTGTTATTGAGTTCTGGGATGCTCTTTCTTTGTTTTTCTCTGTATCTTCTCTTTTCTCCTTATTGGGTAGATCTCTCATTCACCTTTTCTCTCTTACTGCCATATCTTTGTACTTTAAAATTTTTTCAACAAAATGTTAGTTTCCTATAATATATATATATGTGTGTGTGTGTGTGTGTGTGTGTTATGAAGAACCACACTGTAGATTATCATCTTTTGACTCCCAGATATAGAATGATATTCATGTCCTTGAAACACTATTTTAACTATTAATCTACAATGCCTATAACTCCCCTACTGCCCAAATGTTTTGCTTCCATACACTTCATCTCGATGCTCTAAAATCATCCCCAATCATCAAACTGTATAACGTTAGGATTGAAGGAATGTATATTCTTTCTTTTCGTAGTCTCTATTCTCTCAATAAACATTAAACATTCACCACAAAATTAGACAATGTAGAACATATTAATTTAGCTATGTCCTTAATTTCTTATTAAGTTACCAGTGCATCATCACATGGATAAACTAACAGTTTTCTGATATGCTTTGTTCAAAAAATGATTCTTGTCAATCCCTTCTTCAGTAACATACTCACACGAGTAATGTTCAAATTAGCAACCGAACCAAAGGCAGAAGCAGTTTAATGAAAGACTCCCTCAAGTTCCAAGGCACTAATCTCATTTTCACAAGTAGATAATAAAAGGTTAGAACTATTTAGAAGATTGTGGGAAAAGCAACAAAGTTTGGAGAGAACACACCAACTTAGTCATAGTCAATGGATGCATCGACTTCGCCTACTTGGGATTAGATGAAGGATAAACTAGACACCCGAGTGACCTAATCATTGATTTTTTGCACATACAGAGAGTTCACTTACTCTTTCTTAACACTTGCTACAACACGGAAACTTACAAGAAAGGTGTCATGTAACCTAGATCTTAGGCATGCACTAACATTGAATAGTCAGTTGGCAATGTTGTATTCCCTTAAACAACTTTAAATTCTAATCTCGTTTTACAGGGTAACCGAAAACCTACCGCCATAATCAAAGGTGCTAGCCTATATTTTCATGGACAGTTCATCAACTCATAGGATTTAAAGAAAGTCACGCACTTTGTATTGTGTCTAGTTTAGAGGTTTCTAGAAGTTTTAAACAGTTCCAAAAGTCTTTTTTCATCAATCATGCTTTATGTGTGTTGATAAGAAACATAACTTCACTAAAAGAAAGGGAACGAAAAGAAAACAATAGAGATCAAGAGGACAGGTAATCCTATGAGAAAGAAGAAAAGTAAAGTGTAAAGATATCAACCACCTTAAAACAACCAGAATCGACTAAAAACCACCCCAATTCCTTAAAAACCAGTTATCTAATTAAGAAAACTATACCTGTTAGATATAAAATTAAGTGTCTTAATAAGTTCTTATATACGAATCGAAAATCCCAACCAGAAAATATACACATAAAAGATTAGGGCATAGAGAACAGGGAATAAAATTTAATAGCAACCAACAAACAGAACATAATCCTTACATATCAATGAGATTGGACAAAAGGAAAACAACACAGCACCGATGAGGCTCCCTGATCACCTAGCTGCGCAACAAAAATCACAAGGAAAATCAGCAAGAATGTCTCTAAAGCCCGCATTGGAGAAGGCGAAATATCAGAATACAATACAATATAATTGCTTTATACAAGCAATAAAAATATATTACGAATGCTATCATAATCATATTAGTTATAACAATTAACAGTATATAAGAAACCCAATTATCTCTAAGCCCTAAAATTTATCTTTACGCAATAGAAATAGAATACCACATTTAGTTCCAGAAATGAGGATTAGAAATTTAGGAAAAACAAAAAAAAAATGTAAATTATCTACCATTTTACTTGTATAGTGACTTTTAATCAAAACAGAAATGAAGAGTCACCTTTACATTTTTCCAAATCCATGAAGAAAGATTTGAAATCAAGGGCACAAATTTATACGTTATTTTCAATTTCTATTTACAATTTCTTATAAAAGTGTATAAATGACGATTGAAATAGGGCTAACTGTTCAATGAATTTTAACAAAAAACACCCTAGGATTTCAAGTCGATTTACTTTCCCCAGTTTTATCGACTCCCAAAAACAGCTAAAAAATTCGTATTCCAAAAATTGATGAACAAAAAGAAGAACAGATCGCTGGGCACTCAAATCCGATGCATTTCAATGCCGAAATTGACGAAAAACCCGATATCAGATCCGATTACTGATACAGATGGATCGTGAAAACTCCAAGAGATGAGGCTGAAAGAAAGAAGAAAATGGATTACCTCTGAAGAAGAAGAAGAAGAAGAAGTCGACCACCAAATCCGCCTTGTGGAGAGTTTCGCAGTGGGCGAACGAAAGTAGGTTTCGCATTCGGCTGCTAGAAAATTACTAGAATCTCTAACGATGACCAATGGGCTTGGGCCTGGCCTCCAATGGGCTTGGGCCTGGCATCCAATGGGCTAGAGGAATTGATGGGCTTCTTATAGACACTCGTTTCGAAATGGAGTTAATTACATATACGTGTGGGCGTAAAAGATGAAAAAATAAACACTTGTGGATATTTGCACATAAATTTGTAAAATAACTTAAAATGACATTTTTCTCATTTGTTAACTACCTATAACCACCCATAAAAAATGGGTATATTTAAAATAATATTATCTCAATAACGGTTTAATCGACATATTAATAATATTATTAATTTAAAAACATATTCTAAACATGGAGCACAAAAGTGGTCATTTTGTATAAATACTTCGGAATGTAGTGAATAATAGATTTATGAAAGGGAAATTGTAGTATAGAAATTAATAAATCTTTTGATTTTTGATTTTCTAATTTTACTATTTTCTTGCTTTTTTTTCATTCCTTTAGTAAATTCAGATATATTTAAGATTTAAGTTAAAATCACTTAAAAAAACAATAAATCTTGGATGTACTTCCCATGAAAAGGGAAAGGGAGAATTAATAGTGATTTACAATTCTA